TTTTGTTTGTTTGGTTGTTGTTTTTTTCATTTTTAAATCTGCCAGTGAGGCATCAGGTGTCTGCCCCCTTATCTGATGACTGCATATCACCATCCCTAAGATGATCTGCCCAGGTTCTTCTGCCTCCTTAAGCATAACCATTATCTCTTTGCCACCTAAAAATTCAACCTTTCCCACATGCTCTTACAACACTTGCAAGGTTGCATCAGCCTGGGAAGCACAATCAGATAAAAGACCAGGCCAAGTATGAAGAACAACTGCCCTAAACCCCCTCTAACATACCCAGCAGCTCTTGCTGATCACCCTCCCCAGGGCTGCTGTAGCCCTGGAGGATGTGGGCCAGCCCTGCCTTGTGCAGGCAGGATTCAGGGCAAACTGCTGTTGTGCTACTAAAAGGCTCTTACACCATGGGGGATAGAAGCAGGGCCAGTATAATTTGTTCTCTGCTGCCCAGTGGAGCCAGCTCCCCATTGCTCCTGCTTCCTCCTGACGCCCAACACAGGAGCTGGCAGAGCTGCCCTGCTTGCAATGAATATGTCCCCGAATCATTAGCATTTAATCCAGGATAGCAGAGGTAACGCTGGCATCTCACGAGCAAGATGACATCCTGCACATAAATTTGCAGCTGTAAGTCTGCCCTGAGCCTGTCACCAGCTTCTGAGATCCTGAAATAAATTTCCAGATCTTCAGCTACAAAGATATTTGCCCTTCGAGGCAGCCTCGGACTACTGAAACCAAATGGCAGCAGATGCTCTTCTCACATTGCACTGGACACTTTGCCCAGTGCTACTTACCCTCAGAAAACCTCTTTGAAACACCCCCAAAAAATCCCAAAACACTCTGTGGCAACTGTGACTGGCTGCTACTTATTTGCCCTGGCTTTTTTCACAGCCCAAGTGAGGCTATTTCTAGTGGCTCATTTATCTTCCAGTAAATTAGATCTTTTAGTAAATAGATCACATTTTTGCACCCATTTGAAATTTGCCTGCAGACAGGAGGTGACCAAACCCTGTTTGCACTCATTGCCCACCCCTCAGTCTTCTCCAGGCTCTGCAACAGTCCTTGAAGTTACTGCTGTGCAAGTCAGGCAGCCTGTGGGACAGCCAACTAGGAATTGGAAAAAAAACCAGCCTCAAACCCCTGAACTTTCCATATCCTAAAACTGAAGAGATTTAAGACTCCAGCAACAGCCAGGACATAAACTGCATATTGTACTTTCCATATGGCACTGGAAGCTAAAGATGCCCGACTACTGCCACAAGTAACATCCAGTTTCTTCAAAGGACAACTCAGTTTCCCACTGCTTTGGTGCTCAAAAATACAAAGGAGGAAAGTAAGGAAAATATTCCTTACTCCCATTCATCTTCCTCTGTGTCCAGAGGCTAATACAAATTATGGCCCAGCCACATGTCACTCGACACATCTTACGCTACTTCTCTCGTGCTGCTCCTTCTGCGCCTTGCACTGGTTTCAATTTATACACATACACAACAGCCAGCTCTTTCATACCACATTTCAATGTCCCCATGGACTCTTAAATGGGTTTTATGTCTTGGCTTTGGGTGGGATTCTTTCAAGTATATCTCAGCTCCATGGATTAGAGTCAGTGCTGTGGAGCATTTGTTTAGTCATTAGCCCAATTAACAATTGCCTGGGCTTTGCTACCTTTAAATTTCTCTCTCCTGTGCCTGTTCTGGCTTGGTCTCTCTTTTCACCAGCTTCAGTCCCAAACCACATGTCAATCCCTATATCCTGGGCAACAGCGCACATCTAAACCAGGCTTGAACAAACCTCCCACCAGAAAAAACGGTGGGATGTGCCACTGAGAGTGGTGCTCCAACTTGTTAAGAAACCAGAGCACGATGCCTGCTGAGAGCAGCCATCACCCTTCAGTAGCCCAGGGTCAGAGCAGGAAAGAGGCAGTGGGTTCCAATGATAAATCCATTTCCACCACACCTCCATGTGTGCATCCCCAGTGCCCTGCAACTGTTCCCCAGGCAGGGGCAGCAGCAGATACATTTTAATGCTTTAACAAGGCCCAAGGCAATAGGGGCTGGCAAGGACCTGTAGAATGTAGACACTACTACCCAACTGGTAAAGCTGGAAGCCAAATCCTCCTTGCTCTTGTCACTATGAGGTACCTTTTCCCTTCTCCTATCCCTCCAGTATGCTTTTCTGGCTTTCCACAGTAACTAAGGATACATGCACCTCATCCTGTACTTCATCCTTTGAATCTTTCAATGGCTGCTCACTTCTTAACAATCCTTCCCTCCACCACTGCTGCTGCAAGCAGTGGGAGAGCTCAACCTGCTGAGACCCTGCCAAGCACCACTCTCTCCTCTACAGCAAGGCAGCTGACACTCACCCAAGTTCTTCAGCCTGGGGGCTCCACCCTAGACTCAGGGTAATAGTTCCTGTGGGGCCCAGAGGTTGTCTCTACGTTCCTAGCCTAGACAGCTGGCTGAGTGCCACCCCCCATAACCTCCCACTGCATGGGCTCTGCCCTGCGTGCACTTTGGAGGCTGCTCTCCTTCTCTACCTGTGATTTACCTTTGCAGGTAGCTTCTAGCTAGGAAATAGGTCATATTCCTCCCTCCCCCCCCAACTACCAAATAGATCCTGCTCTCCCCATTCCTTGAGGAATGCAGTTATTTTTCTGGAATGAGGCTGCCCTCAGACCTGGTGGGCCCCCTGCCTGCATTGCTGCCTTGCTAGCAGTCTTCTTCCTGGCACCCTGTGCCTCTCTTGATGGGGCCCTGCAAGCAGCAGCCCCGCACTGAGCTTGCCTGAACTTGAGCCTCAGCTTGACCTTGTCTGGGCAGCATGTGCATCCCTCCTTCCTCTGCTGTCAACACCATCCCAATGGAAGCAGTCAAGAGTGGTTGGCTTTAACCTGCCCCACAATACACCATCCCCCCAAATAAGCCTTTTCCCCATGTTGCATCACTCCCAGCCAGAGTGCTGCTTGGTTCCCTCACTGGCTGAAGCAGCCATAGAAGCTGAAGCTTCCCTACCACCCTTATCTGGTGGCCCCATCTCAGCCATTCAGTCGTTGGGCCAAGATGCTGCTGCAAATTCAGACAAAGCAGCTCTGACTTAGGGAAGCTCAGGCTCTAAAGTCCTCTTCCCAGCCCTCCACAAGTAAAATTTTTACTGCCCCCTCCTAAGATTAGATCAGCCACCAAAGATGAGTGCCCTCTTCCCTATCAGCTCTGTTGAGCCCTTGTCTCTTCTACCTCTGCATCAATAAATATATTTGTAGCCTGGATTATCACCATGGACTCCCCAGTCCTTGCCCCCTTTTGTTCCAAAAATCTGCTACACTATGCTGAACTGAGCCAAGCTGTACTCATTTAAGCAAAGCTGTACTCATTTAAGCAAAGCAATGTCATTTTAATATGCCTTTGAAAGTCCTTCTTCCCACTGGAAAGGTGCAGATTCAGGATACTCTGTCTTTAGCATCAGCAAGTTATCTCCCATAAAAACTGGGAATTTTTCTGTCACTAGATTCTTCTCACTTTCCAGTGACCCCTCCCTAAATACTTCTAATATAGCTACCAACATGATTACTTCTAAAATGTAACCACTGTTAGGACTTCACTTCTCCAAAAAAGCAAAGACATACTGCTCCCAAGCTATGTACCTGAAGGAAAGCTTAAAAATTACATGTTCTGTTTAACATATTAACAGAAGAGCTTAAATTAAGCTCAGAAACCTGTGACTATTCCTTCTCCTGTTCTATGGGATCCCTTTGTTGTCAAGCTCCTCCAGGACAGTTCTCAGATCCACAGTTCAGTAGCAAATGTTGCTAATGATTTCTAATTCCCTCTTAATTCAATGTATCTTTGGTTTTATCCATTCCCCTAATAATGATTTTTTTGCTGTTAGTCTGTACTTTTCAAAAATCCTTGCAAGGAATGCCAGGTCTTCGGCCATTTTCGTAATTTCACACTTCAATCTTTCATTTTCCTGCTACTGTAATTTGTAGCCATGAGCAAATCAGAATCACTTGCTGTTTGGGTCAGCTGTGGAGCTCAGAGGCCCCAAGACTGAGGTTCTTCAGAAAGACAGGTAGTTTCCTCTGTTAAACTCAGGACTCTTGCTCGCTCCCCCACCCCATCCAACTGCTAATGACTGGAAATACCCAGAGATTACAAATCTTCCACCTGCATCATGCACTTCGTCATTTAAAAAGCAGACATGCCTTGTAATAACTACAACTGATAAAATATCAACTTGTGCTTTTTTAATAAAATGAAACAAAAGCATTCTAAATCGTAGCAGCTTATAGATCAAAACTGTCCATCAGTTAGGAGCATAGTGTAATTAAGAAGTATGAAAACTGCAAGATATTAAAGACCTGTAGCAATTCAAACTCATGACAAAATCTTCAAGCAGAGTGAGCAACACTGCCTGATGCTCCACTGATTTGGTCTACTTGTTCATTGGTGAAGTACAAATTTTCTTCCTTGGTAACGGCATATCCTCTTTTCCAAAGGGGAAGAAAGGCACAAAGCCCTTTTGATGAGCACACAGCAGCTCTTTC